TTCATTTCAAAACAGTTGTGGTTTTTCTCTTCTTTCTGTTGCTTTTAGCATACAATTTCTTAACAAGTAAATACAATCCAACAACCACCAAAATAAGAAGAAAGATAATGAATAAGATAATGAGAAGAATGACCCACCACACACTTTTAGTTATACAGTATGTGCCATCAGAACTTGGAATATGCCAAAAATTACATTTCGAGCACATCGAATTTTTCACTGCAACACACCCTTCAATTGATGATTTTGAATAACATTTATTATTAATCAACACCTCTTCGTTGTGACAAGAAGTGCAAATATCATTGAATGAGCATGTCGAACAATTCACTTCACATTGTGCACATTGATTTGAATTATAAATGTAATACCCATCTATACATTTTGAACATCCACTTTGAGTCACATTTACTGCGCAGCCTATTATCGACGATTGAAGCAAACAGTCTCCCTTTGTGGTTTTAAAATATTTTGTATTGCATGTCAAACACGATGATTTTTTATTGCAAGTGTAGCACTTGTCGAGACACCTTTCGCATGAAAGACCATATCGATAATACCCATCAACACATTTCACACAACCTCCACTTGGGACATATTGTTCGCAAACGCCAATCAAGTCATCGTTTGTATTACAAACGTTATCCGTTAAAAAAGCTCCTGAAAGGCATGAAAGGCATTTGGTTGAGGTGGTGATACATGTGTTGCAAGTCAAGGAACATTTTTGACAATTTCTTGTTTCAAAATCGTAATAATAGTGTTCATCACACCGTATACAATTACCCGTCGACTGCAATTGGCAATTATCCATTTTCTTTTTAATACAGACATCTTGGGATATCATGTATTCAGACGCACACAAAACACATTTTGAGTTAACCATATATATACAATTCGGTAATTCATCAAAACATTTTCCATTTTGGTCTGTTGCGTTAAAACACGTGCGAAGTTCACACCCATGTTCATCAATCACACCATTTGAATTACATTTAGTTGTTTTTCCTCTTTCACAAACATCAGATAAATTATACAAATCATTACATTTCTCACAACTCAAATAATTGGTAACAAATCCCCTTTCACAAGAAATTATACCAACGGTACTTAAAACAGTGGCATGCTCGTCAGCTTTTTCACAACTATTGTTTTTTAAAATTAAATTGGTGTTAAAAACGCACAATTGGCATGTCGCATTACTTGTCTCAATTTCGCATGTATCCGCTTGAACACATTTGAAATTTACTAATTTGTACCCATGTTCACATTTCAGACATTTTTACCATCCGTCAACTGACATTTTGGTATATTAACACACACCCCATTTTGTGTTGAAT